GTGACTTGCCCAGAGTCACACAGCCCACAGTCTGTGGCCACGCAGGAAAATGAACCCAAATCTCTCTATTCCAGCTTAAATCTCTAGCTGCGGGCTCAGTATTTCTATCTCTAGGACCCCTCTTGTAGAGCTGGAGACAAGGCAGCAGCTCTGTGGGGCCCTGTTGGGTATCACACAAACTACTTTAAGGATCAGGCTTTTCCTCCCTCAATTTTCTTGAAAATTTGAAGAGGCACTTCAGCTACAAGAGGCTGCCCACACAGCAGCAGCAGGGAATTGCTGTGGCTCCGCTTTCTGTCCAGGGATCAATGAAATAGAAGTGGAAGGAGAGAACGAGATGGTATCTGATGGCTGGAAAGAAAATCTCTAATTTAATTTTACAAGTTAGGCAGCACTAACTAACACATCACACAGGGCTATAGAGGGCTGTATTTGAGGGCAGGTGGCCACTCAGCTGTGGCACAGCTGTAATTGTGGCACCTGTGGCAATCGTGGCACACACAGGCACTGCTGGACCGGAGCGGCACGAGGCCCGTCTGTCTGTCTGTCCATAGCCAGGGAGCTGCACCCCTGGGAAAGGGAGACCCAAACGATTTCAGGGCATGCGAAAGATGCTAGCAGGACACTTCTTTAGGAGCTAAGAGCTAATCTTTCTTTCCCAGCTTTTCAGAAGGAAATTTAAGGGATTTTTTTTAAATAAGGGGATTATAGCATTTATTTTAAGTAGAAAATTACAACAGAGATGCAATAAGCAAACCATTGCTCTCGAGGTTTACATTTTTGTCTCCTCTGTGCCTTCTTTTCTCCTTGGCCTCAAATATTAAAACGAGAGAAAAGTCAAGGAGGGAAGAAAACAAAACTCTGAAAGGGGAGAGGCAGGGTGGTTTCTGCTTGCATTTTGTTCTTGAAAAGCAAAGATTTCAGTAAGCTTTTCATTTAAGAAAATTTTCAGGAAGTCTGCCCCATTTCTCATGGACCCTGGCTGCTCTTTTCTGACCACCCTTCCCAGCAGCCGTGTTTTGTTCAGTTTCTGGCTCGTGCATCATCCAGAAATGACATTAAGTCAAACTTTAGCACGGAGCTATAAATTGGGCAGACCCATCAGTAGGGCTAGGGAATATCCCTTCCCTGTGTTTGCTCTCACCTTTGAAGAACACAATCTTGTGGTCGCTGGTTCTCTCATAGACTGCATCCACGCTGTCCAAATTCAAGGGCAAACCCCGCCAAAATCGGTGGATCTGGGCCGGCTGGAGGGAGACCAAGTGCTTATTGCGAGTCAGTCTCCAGAAGTACTTGCCTAGAGGGACAGACTGGGCATTACTGGAGCACCCTGTGTTGAACCACAAATCACCCATGGCAAGAGGAGGTCTCTCCTCTCCTGCCTTGCTGCTTTTGCATGGGAACTTCCTAGGAATTGGGAAGAACAGTCTAAAAATCACTGGAGAGTCTAAAATTAAACCAGCTTGGCCCAGCCTTTGGAGAGACTTGGAAGAAACATGCCTACTTCTGCCCTCCCGGAGCAAGACTGGGGAAAAGCAGAAAAGGAGGCACAGCCAAGGTGCCTGGGTGCAATCCAAAGACGTGTGGTGAGTGCAGGGACAGGGCTCTGGGGGGACTGCAAAGGGACACGGCAGGGACAGGGCTCTGGGGGGACTGCAGAGGGACACGATTCCTGGTGCCACGGGCAGACACCAGTCCCTGCTGCGGCCTCTGTCACAGCAGAGTTTGGCAGGGGGCATTTTTACATAGTTTGGGGTATGGAAAAGGAAAGAGGTTGGCCTGGTGGGGAAAGGACACCTCATGCTGGATTTCTTAATGATTTTAGTGGTGACTCGAAAACCAACAGTCTTTACTATTTCTAGCCTCCTCAGGCTGAGCTGTCGCAGTGTGTTTCATGCTGCGTCTTCCCTGGAGAGCCCCCCACAGCAAGAGCTGGGTCAGAGCAAGATGTCTCACTCTCAGCTTAGCCTCGTATTAGTTTTTGCCTGGTAGAAATTATTGCATGTTATTTACAGCTGCGTTTGTATCAACTCCCAAAGGGAAATAAGCAACAGAAACCAAAGATGAGTCTTCAATTTGTATTCAAGATGCTCCTTCTCCAGAGCGGGCAGATTGTGAGACGGTCTTTCGAAATTTTATGGAAATTGGATCTTAGCCTAATAATGCAGGAGGCAAAAATCCAACACTTAAACATCTGCAGGAAGGGTTTTTTATTATAATTATAAGGATTTATATAATTTTCTTGTTCTTCTGCTCCAGTTTGCATATTTGCTCTATCTGACTGAAACCTATAGCTGAATAATGCATTCAAATATGGCAGGGACTGTCATAATTATAGATTCTTTTTAAGGACATTAAAAAAAATAGTATTCAAACTTGAAGGCCATTGTATGTCTATGGAAACACATGTAATTACATAAAGATGATCTCTGCATTTCTAATTAGAGGCGCACTAGACTAATACAAAGCACAGCTTGTTTTCTAATACAAAGCACAGTTTGCCATAATTTCCTTTCTAGTAGATACCTACCTAAACTTCTAAGTGCTCTGTGCTGTTTGACAAAACAAGCAAAGCCCCAGAGCTCTAGATATTTTAGCCATTTTCTAGCACTGGGCTCAGGGGATGCACAACTAGAGCAAGCGAGATCTAAATCTACAAAGTCAGGCATGGTCTGGATTGGTGGTTAAGTTTGGTGGTGGTTGGGTTTTTTTTGATAGGCTATTAAGCAAAAGCCAAAAAAAAAAAAAAAAAGCAATTGAGGTAGCAATGAATTCTTAACACTTCACTCCACTTTACCCACGCTCATGTTTTGCTAAGGCCAAGCCTGCTTGCCCAAGTGCTGCACTTAACTTGGACACTCATCACGCAAAGCCAGACACATGAGGGAACTGCTGCTATGAGCATGCAAAAATACAACAAATTAAAAAATAAAAACCCCAACCCATGTTCATTTCAAGTTAGAGTGTGATTTCAAACCACCCTCCAAGCTAGCAGACTGAGAAGGATGAAAACTAAGTGTAAAGTCCTGCTGTCTCACGCATCTCATTTATATGGGTGACGCATTGAGGCTTTCTTTAACGCTATATTCCTTAACACTAATTCAGAAGTGTGGAGAACTCACCGTGGCATTGAATAAAAGGCAAGTGGGGATCCTGGGGAACAGCAGCCACCGTGTCTCATCGCACTGGGAGAAGCTTTGGGAGCCTCCCAAGGGCCAAGGCAGCCCCGCGCGCTCCGTGCCCTAGCGCAGCCTTGCAGGGTGACCCAGGGCCCCTGCAGCTGGGCACCCCGGGCATCCTGGCCCGCAGAAAGCGGGTGTAAAAATAACTGCATACAGAAAGTAGGCACTGCGATGGAATTCTTCTTAGCTTTGATTTTTTTTTTTTGTTCCTCTCTGTTTCTGCACTGGATCAGTTTGGGATAGCTGAACTTTGGCCAAGAACGTAAAGCAGTGCCCGCCGGGCACTTTTCCATCCTGCAAGGATGGAAGAGAAGCCTGTGGCGTCCGGCAGGGAAGCACCGGGGGGATCCTTGCAGACAGCCAGGCACCCCGGAGGAACCCGACAGCAACTGCTTGCTAACACAGAAGCAGATGGCTCCATACCTGCACGCGTGCTGCCTGCAAGCGATGCCCAGCACACGGCAGCAGAGATGGGGACGCGCAGGAGGCGAGGGAAGGGCGAAGGCATCCAGGGAAAAAGCATCAGAGCTGCTGTTCTGCCAATCCTCCGCTCAACCCGGATTTTGACATCACATTGCAAGTACCAGACTTCAGTTCTTTGCTTTGAACTCCTGGGCAGGGGGGTGCAAAGGGTCAACGAGCAGCACAGCGGAAAGTGCCGAGCTGGATCTGCGCCAGAACGGCCACTTCCAAGTGGCAAAGCGCCGAGCACGGCGCGCTGGGCAGTTAGCGGGAGCGCGAGCGCTGCCTTCATCCGCGGAGCCGCAGAAGCTCCTCTGCTCTCACCCTGCCAGCGAGCCGCTAGACTCCCCCCAACCTTGGCAAACCCTTAATTTCTCCTGGCTGAAGACTCCTTAGCTTAATTATGTTCTGTGTTAAAGAATATTTTTTTTTAATCATTTTTAGATAAATTGTGTTTTAGCTTCACTGGATTTCTCCTTTTTTTTTTTCCTTTGGATGGAGAGAAGCATGGGATTTACTGTTCAGTCACCTGGATGCCTCCACCAGGTCCTTTCTCCTCCTCCCTAGCAGCCCATGCTCAGCTCCATCCCTCAGCTCACAGTCTCTGCCCGTTGCTCGTCAGTGCTCACGCACATCCCTGGCACCTCCATCATCACCCGGTGCCTGGCAGGGCTGAGCCCGGCATTTCCCTCTGCACATTAAAACCTCCTTAGCACCTGTCCTCAGTCTTGGGGACTGATCAAAGGTCTCAGACCTTTTATTTGGGCCAAAAGGTGCTGACAGTCCGTGAGAAGTATCACTGGGGCTGCAGGCTCTGCAAGACCCAGTAGTTTTCTGGGGTCTGTGATCCCGGAGCCAATTTATCCTAATCGCACGTTCCAGATGGTCCGATACTGCCCTTGCGGCGTTACAAACCAGTGTCACGTGGACATTACTGCAGGGCTCCGTGCACACCAAGACCACGGACACCAGCAGCGGTGAAAGCAGTCACTTACCTTTGAAGAAGAAAGCCTCTCCTCTGATCTGGGCCACGGCATCGAAGTGAGTGTTGCATCTGTTGGGCACATCCCTCCAGAGCCTGCGGAGAGACGAGCCAGGTGAGAAGGGGCCTGTGCCAGCACCTGGGCTACCCAAGACCACTGCTAGGAAGAGCCGAGGGACACAGGGCACACACATCCCAGCTGAGGTAGCAAAGGGCAGTGCTGGCTTCCAGCTCCCCAGTGGAGCAGGACACCGGGGTCTGGCCAGGTGCCCTGAAGCAGCAGGATGCTGGGTGAATAAAAAAGCAAGAGGCAGCAGGCTCCAGAGGCTGGGAACATCGCTAAGACCAGAAAAGCCAGCTAGAGGTGACAAAGCTGGAGAGTGAGGCAGCAGCAAACACTAAGCAGAGACTTGGAGGTGAGATGATGCCACATGATATATAGAGGAAGCCACCTGGCAAGTCACTGGCTGAGATACTGAGTTGCTTTTAACAAGGTGGGTGGGAAAAGCATAGAGTATGAAGGGCCTAAAGAGCTATGAAACCCATATGAAAAATGATGATTGATAGAGAACGAGGAGAGGATGCTGGAAATCTACACAAATAAAGCTGCTCCAGATGACAGGCAAGAATAAATCTAATTTGGTGATAGAAGATTTGTGTGAGGTTGGTAGGATCAGCTTCACAACCCTCTTCAGGAGCAAAGTGACAGATATGCAGTTGAAGCCATTGCAGCCTCCCAGTCACACGCAGGGCAGAAAGAAGGGGTTGGAGGTGAGTGAGTTTCCTGCTCCCCCATTGCCATTGTGGGATGACAATCTGCTACCATAGGGGCAAAAATACATATATATTTTTTTCTCTTTTCTCTAGGTGCCTTCACAACATGCACCAGCCAACACGATGGTCATACAGAGCTATAGGCACAAGCTCCTTTAGAAGCTGCACAGCAAGAAAGATTAGAGGACAGCGCGAATTCACATGGTCCCTTAGGCTGGGCACATGCTGGTCGGGCAGATACAGAGCCTCCAGGTTAGGAGCTGTGTCGCTGACCTAGCAGAGCCCATCCTGGCTGGCAGCAGTAACTCGGCCAGCCCTAGGTGGCATCACAACCACACGGATCAGCACAGAGCAAGAACCAGCTCTCACTGCGGCAGCGGGCAGCGTCTGGGACACGGTCTCTGCACTAGTCATTACTAATGAGACGTGTGTATCACCAAGGTGGGCAAAGCGGGGAGAAGAAGGTGCCCCGATGGGAAGAAGCGACCACAGCACAGTGTTTTTCTCAAGATTACATTCTCCTTTGGCCCCACTGCTGTGGCAGCAATCCAGCTTTCATGTTTTCACATTGCAAAGAAGGATGCTGTTGTTCACCCCTCTTTGCAGGGCGGGAATTGAGGCCCAGGGAGGTCAAGCCCAGCAGAGGGGCAGAGAGGAGACAAAACCAGCACCTCCCTGGGTGACCTGCTCCGTCTCTGATGCTCTCACCTGGGACACTCTTGGGACCAGGAGAAAAAAAAAAGTGCACAACCATTAACTTCTACCTATTTACTCAGTGTCAAAAGGACGCTTCCCCTCCTAGCCCTTCTGCTGTCCTAGAAGCAAATTGGTAACTCCTACATTTATTAATGACCTAGATCCAGAGCTTTCCTAAATGAGGGTGCTCTGGTTGCTTGATAGCGCGCTCAGTACAAGCAGTTCTTTGCCGACCCCAAGCTGTGCTGGAGGCAGCCTCTCAGTCCACTTGCTCCAATATTCACCCCCGCAGGTACATGAGGGAGTTGCTCACGGTAGAAAGATTTAGGTAAGTTATGCTTGCACAAATCAGGACACTGCAGAAGAAGTTTGATTAAAATTTCAGCAAGGATGAGTTCACCTAAGGGCGATGGGGACAAATTTCTACTCACAGAGGTAAAATTTGGAGTCTTGGGGAAATGCAAAGCATTCCACAGTGACACAGAATTTCTGAATATGCCTTGAATGATAAAAAAAACAGCTAACAGACCAACAGCTACTGTCACTCACTGGTGCTATTAACCACTTCAGTTTGGAGCCAGCAGGCCAGTCTCCATATACCCCGGGATGTTCAGGAGACATAAGGAGGAGGAAGGTGTACTCGGTGTGTGTATTTACAGGCAGTTAAGAAGTCCAGAGGGAAATACCACAGCTGGAGTGGGCAGATAAGATCGCAATGCTTAAGTGGTCTTTTACTTCTACATGGCCTTTGCAAAAATATGAACAACAGCAAAACAAAAATGGGCTTGACTTACGGGACAGTGGAGCGGTTTTCTGGCAACTCTGGCAGAACAGGATGGTCGTCGGCTTTGCTTACTTCAGGCTTTGCTGTGGGGGACACCGATTCCCTGACTCCTATGTGCAAAGACAAAGAAGCAGTAGAAGGGAACACCATCCTCCCCACATGCTCCACACAGAGAAGAGCTAGTCCAGTGCATTCTGTGGCAGAAATGGGCCACAGGTGGGTAAGGGACACAAACTTACCATAGAGTTGCCAGATTCGGACTTTATCCTCGTAAGGCAGGTCATACTTCAAAGGATCTCCCACTGGACCTTGATAATAGGGTCTCATAATAGACTCTATGGCAGAGATGTGCGTCAAGCCAATGGCATGGCCAAATTCATGGACAGCTACAGCAAACAAGTCCATCCCGTGGGCATCTGGAAATAAAAACATCATAAAAACGTAAATCACTACCTGTTGATTGCATTTTGTGACTCTGGACAGCATGGGCTCCTTGTCCAGCCTGGACTGAGCATGTATGCAATTGCCAGCTCCGATCAATTTTAAGTATGGTTGTGGCAAAGTTCATGATCACAAGCCCTCAAATAGGGAGGTAGTGAGGCTGGAAGATCATAAGTCCTCAAAGAAGGAGGTAGTGAGGCTGGAAGGCCGACACCTCCATGGAGTCCAGTCTCCAGCCCATGGCAAGGGCCCCCAAAGAAGCTGTCACGGGCTGATCCTGCCTAGCGCTTTGCATTCCCCACTGGGCCTATTTTTGCAGAATTCTCCTTCTTTCTTGATCACCATTATTTACAGTACCTGTAAATAGGTGTTTTTTTTCTATAACCTGTACTGTTTTCCCCAGCACCAGGAGAGAACAAGATGTGCGCTTTCTGACATTTTAAAGCCAAACTGACAACCTTGGAGATATTTTTATATCACCTACCAAGTTGTTATTTTTGAATCACTAGGAAGAGAACAAAATAAATAAAAGATGAAGCTTAGATAGCTCCAGACCTTGGCAGTAGAGGGCAGCTTTCCTGTCATCAGCCTCTTGCCCTTGCCTGTTGGCTGTGTTTGGAGGGAATCCCCTCCTCGGGGTCATCAGTCTATGGTCCTCTCCTCACATCTGAGCCCACAAGGGAAACACGTGGAAACTCCTTCCACTATGCTTGAACAGACAGCAATCAGGCCTGCCAAGTTCAAAGAGGGCAACTTTGTTGGCTTAATCTCTAGTAACACATCTGCCAAGACAAGCTACTGAACTTCAGCGCTCACCTCCACTCTGCTCCTCTGTAAAACGGATAGAAAAGAAGCTTAGCATGAGGATCCAAACAGGAGCCTCCATACCTGATGATCGAAAGGTCCAATATTCGTCATCATCAAAATGAGTGTCTCCTGCTGTGTGGTGGTCTCCAGGGAAGAAAGCATGAGCGACGGTGCCACCAGGCCCGTCGAAGGGATAACCGTCATTGTGATCTGCCTTGGAGAAGTCGATCTGGATGTCAGCATTGTTACCGGCCACTTCATGGAAATTCAACGGGGTAATGTCGCTCCAGACCTTCAGGGCATAGTACATCAGGGCACGGACTGTGTCGTGACCAAGGTGGGATTCTTTTGGGAAGGTGCGGACCCTGAGAGACAAGAAAAGAAAACAATATATAAAAAATGATGAGACAGGAACACAGAGAATGAGCATCTTCCTCATTCTGCTGATTGTTTTACGACAGGGACCTCTCAGAAGGAGCTCCTCCATGGCTTGGGTCTTCTGTGCTCAGCAGAAGAATGGGTTCTGCAGATGCCTGGCTCAGCTGCAAAGCACAGTACCTGCAAGGAGGCTATAGAGCCCTTGGCTCACCTGAGAAGTGCCTCAACACGCTTGATATATGCGTGTCTGAGAGACTCAAAATCACATTGCAGAGCTACTAGCAATGTTTCCACAGACAAACCCTGCCACTTATCCCCCACCTTGCCCAACCCCAGACATCACAAAGCTTGATTGCCTTTCTAGAGCATACCCAAACATTTTATTTGGCAAGTTCCCTTTCAGATCTACTGTTAATTATGTTCTCACTATTTTTTTGTTCCAAGTGCAACCCAAATATAAAGATTATTTACTTCTGAAGCCTTCACACCACACACAGGCCCATAAGTTTTCCCACAACAACCAGCAGGTCATTGCTCATTCTCGCTACACTGGCATGTAAATCCATGACACATTTTCTGCTTCCATATATTCCCTGGCATGTCTGCTGAAGACATAAAACAAACTCTGAAACCTGCACACTGCCAGCAATCTTTAGAACTGCAGTATATAAAAAGGAGGAAGAGGAAAAGATGCATTTTATGTAAATCTTGTTCAAAGTCCTCCAAACTATTACTTGGGGAAGACAGGGTATCTGATGGAGCACCACAGCAAAGATCTCATCCTGCTCCTTGGTAGATAAAGTACTGACTAGCTGGGGCTTATTACACCATTGTACATATGAAGGGTACAATAGGTTTTCTCTGCATTGGGATATCACCATTCAGTCCCCAACACTGCCTTGTCCTGAAGGAAAGTCAGATGGGAGTAATGGTGAGCCAGGTTTGCCGTGCAGCAGCATAATTCAAACCTCCCTTTCGCTCGGAGCTGGAATGAAAAAAGTCAATGTTTTCTGTGTAACCAAAGCTCGAGAAAGAGCCCCTAATGCTACTGATTTAATATAAAAGGTGAAAAGACAAAGACGCAATAAGGCCTCCTGACTTCTGAAAGAGTATGTTTAGATAATCTTTCATTGACCATTTTGACAAAAAATAAATACGTTCCAGGAAAATGTACTGTTGAGTGAGTAATTATTGACAGAAAACAATTCTACTGGAAAATTTCTGGCCAGCTCTACCCTAGTAATAATGTACACTTTATTTCTAGTGTACCAGCACACCAACCAAAGCATTCAAGAAATATTCATGGCTTGACAGATTTTTAAAGGCCGAAGCAACAATTACGATCACCTCACTTCCCTCCCGTACGATATAGCTCAGAGAACATCACTCAGTATTACACCATTCCCCAGCATCAGTGCAAAGCAAGGACTAAATCTCCAGAGGCAATTACAGGTGGCAGGAAGGGATGTCATGTCACTCAAGCTTTTCCTACTAGTGAAAAATTGTGTACGATTGTGTAACATTTGGGAGGCTTTACGGATCAGCAAAGAGGAATACGAGCAAATTGCTGCAACTGCTGCTTTCACAAATACTTGCTTTGCATCCCATTCCCTCGTGGACATAGAGCCCAAAGCACACCACGTCCTGACCTGGGCAAAGTCACTGAGGTTTAAATTCAGGACACAAAAAACACTGGACTCATAAGAAAAAGGAGACAGCAAGAAACCTCTCCAACAGCTTCTCTGAAGACCTTGGGAAGTCTATACTGGAGACGCTGTAAATGAACTGGGAAGACCAGGCAAAAGATCACAGCCACAATAGGAAAAATTAGCCATATCTACACCTTTGTTATACCTAAACTACTCTAGAGAGAGCCCTTGACTGCTCATATACATCTAAGGAGTAGTAGTACCTGGTGATACAAACAGTATGAGCATGAGATCAGAAAAGACAACTTGCAGACAGTGTTTAAAGAAGACACTGGCTTTCAGATATTCCTTAACTAAGTGAGGAAGCATCTTCATTTTCCAGGGTATCCCACCAAATTTAGGTAAAACCTTGGTGGCTTTAATGTCAACTAAATCATTATATACGTAAAGCACACTTGTGCTTATGTCAGGAGGTAAGACCTCATCTCCAAGGTCTGAGTGCCCAGAGCATGGGACTCGGATTCAGGACTATTATCTGCTCTTCCTGCCTCAAGCTCTGCTCTCCTGCATGAGCCATTTTCTTTCCCTTTGACCTGACTTTCCACTGCTGTAAAAATGAGAATAATAAATCTGATCTCACTTGTAAAAGGCTGGTGGATGAAAATCTCTGTTTGAAGAGACAAATATTATTAATATTCATTCCAGTCCCTAATGCTAGACACATTAGATTAAGGCAGAAGCAATATCAATACTTATTTTGCTTCTTATTAAAGGTCCTGCACCTCTGAGCTGACCCACATTTTATTAGCAGGCAGCAGACGTAAGTGAAAAATCCCTGATTCTTTATTCATACAACTGACCCACATTTTATTAGCAGGCAGCAGACGTAAGTGAAAAATCCCTGATCCTTTATTCATTACAACCATTAGTTTCCAACAGATTCCCATCAGGATTTCCAATTCAGAATCTGATTTGATTGCAGGAGCTCTGCTAATTGATTTCAATGAGATTAAGAGAAGACTATTATATCAACAAGACATTCAGCAACACTGCTTTATCAAGTCCCATCAAAAAAGCAACACATTTCTAACATAATGCACACGCACACAAGGCTAAAGAGGCTTCCTCCCACCTTGATTATTGCTATTATTCACAGTAAAACAGTGCTCAGGTAGTCAGTGGAAACCAGCACCCCTTGTTCCTGGACTTTAATCCCTCCTGAGACTCCCCTTAAGGAGCTCCAGTCTCTGGTAAAAGCCCGAGTTGAGTAACAGGAGGGAAACCTGCCCCTTCCAGAAACTCCCCCAGGTGCTATGGATTGAGACACTAAAGCAAATAAACTCCCATGTAAGCAGGGTGAAAATTGGGCAGGAGAAAACAGATCTAATGCAGTGCAGTCAGGGACACGCTAAGGCAAACATCTACCCTACGTAGCCTTGAGCAGCTCCACACTCTGCCTAGAAGAAGTGCTTATCCCAGGGTCATGTTCTGCTCCCTGTTCCCAGGGCTCTGCTCCAGGAGCACCATCCATGTGGCTTCTCCATCCCAGCCAGCTCCTTTCCTTGCTGAGAGAGGCACCTGTGGTCGCAGTCGCGGCGATGATGGGGTGGCCGTGGCCTACAGACGAGGTGATGCCACCTCATTGCTGTGGCAGCCTGACCACGAGCTCCACCAGCCTCTGAGCAGCACAGCTGGAGCCCAAAGAGTATCTTGTAGATGGATAAAAAACAGCTTTAAAGTGGTTCCTGCAGGTACTGCCAGGGCCTTTGCTAGTCCCATCCCCAAATAGTTTTGGGCCCAACTCAGTTAATAAGCAGAACACGGTGAGGACAGAGGTTTCTGCCCACCATGGACCAGCAGCAGTGCCACTGAGCACTTGAGATTCTGGGTCCCTTTCCCGTTTCCCCCCACGATGACAAAGGAGAAGCTACATTGCTGATGTGTGGAAATCAATTCCTGCTTAATGAAAGCACTCCATCACACAGTGCAACCCTGAAACCGGAGAGAAAGAAAATAAATGCTGATAACTACTCAACACAACAGACCACAGATTGCTTGATAAGCCCAGATTGGTTTTTCTGAAGGGGAGAAGAGGGGACAGCAAAGTGTAGACACTGTCCAAAGCACCCAGAGTCGCTTGGCTCGAAACCAGGTGTGCTGCTGCGCTACCCCGGGAACAGCCCCAGCTGGGAAAGCAGCCCCACAGTTTGTGCTCTCTGAGCCCCTTCCACGAAGGCTCTCCCAGCATTATGCAAAGACAAGCGAGATTGGCCCTCCACTCTTTCTGTGCAATAATCCTTATTCTGCCCTTTAATACACACGCACCATCAGGCAGCACCTACAGCACAGCCTGTGTGCCAGCACAAGAGATGATTGATCCCAGGGAGAGGATGAGGGCAAAACCAAGTTTCACACCCAGTTCCTCGGGCTGGGACAGGAGCAGCTGTGCTGGATGAGGCTGAGCAAGCCAGCTTTGTGCCTTGTTCCTCATCCAGGGATTGGAGGGTTGCACGGGCTCCATGGGGCTGCAGGTGGCACATCCCAGCAGTCAGGAACCTCAGCAGCCCAATGCTCTTGCATTGGGAATGAGAGCTCAGGATACTCTTTCCACATTTATAGGCACCTTCCTGGCAGCATCCCCTGCTCCCACTGTTACCCCCTCACCGCAGTGGATCCACATCCCAGCTCAGCTAGCAACACAAACCTGCTGCACGTGGCTGGGCACTGCTCATGGAGATTGCAGAGCTGCCACCACGAGGCTTTGCTCCGGCTCCAACATCCCAAGCCCTCAAATTTCACAGCTTGCAAGACTGCAGCATGGATGAAGTGGCATGTGGGACTTGTCCTTAATGAAAGATTAATACAAGCAGGCTGCAAAACCAGAGCAAAACCCCTTGCAAGGAGCCTGTGGGTTTGCGGCTCTGGCAGAGGGCATCTTTCCTTTTTATATGCACAGCTCAATCCAATTCTGGGTTTTGTTTGCTCTTTTTTAAATCTCCAATCAATGAATAAGAGGTAGGCATGTAAAACTTTATGCCTCTATTGACAGATTTTCATGACAGTTTCCAAAAAAGCTATTCTAATCTCAAGTGCTGGATGTAAATACCATACTGGAGCCTCCTGCTGGCTTATAGAGCTTCCAGTTATAAAATACAGCCCCTTCCTGAACAACAGCCACGATCTTGGAAAGGAAGAAAGAATAAAAAGCAGCCGTGAGTTTGTCGGGAGATGGAATTTTTATATCATGCATATAAAACTGTCTTGGACCTAAAACCCTTTTTTATGGCAACCTTTGCAGCAGCACCACTCAGCTGCAGAGGGAACGTGAAGCGGGTTTGTATCCTGGGACCAAAGCTACTGACCTTATTTCCCTTCTTACGTTGCACTTGAGCCTGGGATGAGTGAAATATATCAGCACGGTTTGAGTCCTCATGTGAATGTCACCACTCTTTAGTCCTGCCATGATATCTCTATCATGCCTTACCCAGCTCAGAGTTAGGCAGCTACCCTACGAATTGACAGTGGTGTAACTGCAACCAGAGCTCAGCATGGCTGGGACCACACGCTCCAGCCCCAGCTGTGGCCTCGCTCCAAGTGCTCTTGTGATGCTCTCAGCTTCCTGCAGCAGCTCTTTGAAGAACCACCACTGTTGCCCACGGTCTCTGCAGGCAGAAAAATGAGCCTTGGAAAGCGCAATCGTGGTCGGTGGCAGGTGGAGAGGACACTTGTTTCCAAACACTCCCCCATGGGGTGCTGTAGGCTTGGGCAGCCAGCTCTAAACTCCCATGTTTCCCACGTTCAGAGTGTCCCATGCTTGTCACTTAAACAGTGAGACTGATTCTTACCTCCAGGACAAGTTCCTTTTGTTCCACTTGGTCGCGGCCTGAGTGTGCCGCTTTTCCCTGCTCTCCGAGGAGGCGAAATCAGGGAGCGAGCAGCGAGGGGTCTTCATCAATTCCAGCGTGGCTTCATCTAGGGGAGAAACAAACCATGGAAACAACGTGCTGGAAATAATTATGCTGCAGGACTGGGAAGCGCGGGTTAAGAAAGCCCCTGGGACAGGCAGCGAGGCAGTGCACGGGTCTGTCGGGCGGTGGCAATGCTGCTGCAGCATGGTGCTCATTCACCTCTTTTCAGCACTGTTTTCCTATCTTTTGTTAAGCACTTCATTTCCTAGCTCAAACCCAAGCCCTCCATCTAACCAGGGACTCGTGTAAGTCCCGCTTTAAACATCACTTCCAAGGCAGAAGCTGCAGGTAGTGCTGGAAGGAAAGTCAGTGCCTGTGCTGGGGCCTCCTGGAGCTTGCAGAAAAGTGGAAGGAAAACTATAATTGTAGCTGCTTAATGAAGCACAGAGAGGGAAAGACTGGGCCATGGCAGCCCAGCCCTGGTCCCGGCGTTGCCAGGGAGCCACTGTTGCACTGTTAATTAGCAGCTTCTCTCTAATTCCCCCCTAAATAGCAGCATGGAGAGCAGACTGAGGACGCTGTGGGGGGCCGCCGGCCTCACAGCACAAAGGGGCCCATTGCTAGCCAGCCTGAGGGGAAGGGAGCCAACGGCCCCTGCGAGGGTGCACGGATAAAGGCCGCTTTCTCCCTCCCTCTTCACTCCTTTCAATGAGAATATTGAGGAAAACCAGGGCCAAGGAAGGCAACTTGCATCACTCCGGCCTAGCTTTGATTCATCTGGTCCATGCTTGCAGGCACTTTGTAACAGTGAGACGTGGTCACCAGCCCAGAGAAGAGTCACCCACCGCCGAGCCCTCGCCAGCCGCCCGGGCTGCCCAAGGCCAAGGGCTTTGGGCCAGTCTGGGGCTACACAAAGGCTGGGCAAACCCCATGGGGGCTCTGAGCGCAGCCACTGGCTACGGTGGTCCCAGGAAGGGCCTGAGAACGTGATGGGAACTCATGATGGGGACTCATTGGGCACAAGGAGCCGTGGTAGGGTATCGCTGCAGGAATCCTGCTCTCTACTTCTCTTGCTCACGAAGGATACAGAAAGATCTACCTACACAAACGTGGAGGGTTAAAATCAGGATTTCTGTTCCACTCAGTTTGATGCTGCAATTAAGGCTTTGAACAAAGTCATCTATCAGCCTTAGGTTTTTTTTCTGCTTTTATTTTTCCTTTTATTTTTTGAACACATCAAGAGCTATTTTAAGCATGATAGGAACCCTGAGGGTTTGTGGGCCCGGTGAAATAATTGCTTGCCTCAGGTTGTTGGAAGCACAAGGCAACAAAGCACCTGAGCCATGTAATTACTCTTGTAAGTGCAAACGGAGCCGCACATCACACACGTGTCAGACCTTCCTGCGAATGGCGCCACTGCACAGCGCACTGCTGCGGAGCACGCGGTCCTCCTCGTCCCCAAAAGGCCCTCTCAGCCCCTGTCTGTCCCCGTCCACCAAGACAAAAGGGCTCATTTTGAACTGACCTAGGATGCCTGTTGCTTCGAGGCCTCCAAACTGCTGCATGGTCGTGATGGCTTTCGTGAGCTCCTCCTGCGTCTGCAGTTGTCCTGTGACGGGATCCGGAGGAGGCAGATAACCAAATTTTGTCAGCCAGTCCTGTGAAACATGTAGAAGAAGTGATGAGAAAAGGGAAAAAAAAATATATAGAGATAGAGAGAAAGAGGCGCTGAAGGTCCTGTCCGTTCCGCATGGAAATACCTTTTCCATTTACATGTTTATACCCAACTTCCCTATTGAACTGTGTGGTCTCTGTTAACAAATGAATGTGTCACAACAGATCTGTATACATTACTTAAGTAATGGGATCCGATGACCTTCATGCATTCCAATGTTGACATTTAATTTTCCCATCCGGCTGCAAACTATCTTTGATAATAGCAACAGCAGAGTCCTAACCCGGGGGGTTATACAGTCATCTTTTATTCCTCTCTTCGATGCTGGCAGTTCTTAGTGGAAACTTGTTGCAAGGCTGAGCACAGAGAGTGCAACAAAGTGCCCATAAGGGAGGACCAGACCCAGGCAAATCCCACCTCACTTGAGGCCTCATTTGAAATTTGAGGTGGTTTCGAGGAAGGGTTTCTGGGTTCAACAAAGGAACCTCCCCAACTTTCAACCTAGGCCAATGACTTAGTTGGTTCATCCCTCTCCCAGGGCATCTTTAGGGATCTTCTCTGGTGGACAGATTAATGCTTCCTGCGTTAGTCATTTTGCTGTGAGATTAATCATCTCGGTGACTTTCAGGTCCTTTTCTCCTCCTGTTTTCTGGCCCCAGGGGCTCAGGGCATAGAGGGACCTGGAGTCCACTCTCACTGTGGAGTTAGTTTGTGGAATGGCTGAGGTTTGAAGGTAAATTAATGGAGAAAAGAGACTTGGCCTGGACACCAAGAGCAAAGACTCCCTTCGCCTAACAGAAGCAACCTGGGCAGGACCCAAACAGACATCAGATGCTAAAAATCCCCCAAATGCATCCTAATGGCTGGGGTTGGACTCTTCCACCTCACATTTCATTGCAGAATTTCGATCTGACACAAAGTCCAATCATGAAGCTCTTAAAAGTGGGGAAAGCAAACTGGGCATGGAGATTCACAGACATCAAACCAAACCAACGCTGGTGGGATAAAGTTCACAACTCCCCTTAGCCACAGGTGGGAGCCAAATCCCTGCTGAAGTCCAGCAGAACGCTCCCATTCTCAGGCTACTCAAGGAGGAGCCAGAAGCAATTTGGTTGCCAGCTAGACCTGGGCCATCCGAGGCCCAGAAGAGATGGCCTCAACGCTTACACACAACTGAGCCCTACAGAGAAAATGCCATGGAAATGTAAAAACAAGATGTTTCCTTGGGGGCCACCACACCACATGTGCTGCAGGCCCTTCGCTTTGTGCCTTCCCCTGAGTTTGCAGGCAACGTGCACCCTTCAGATGTGAAGATCTCAGCTTCCAGGAGCTGAAGGGCCACCAACAGCAGCTCTGCTCCACGTTGTCTCCACGCCATGCTGCTCCCCTCCAACTGCATCAGCAAGGGAGATCTGGGGGCAGGGAGCTCCTACACGGCAGCGTCCATGGATGCACGAAGAAATACTGTTCAACAGCTTTAGGCTAAAGTTTGACCTACATTAAAAAGTCATTCTTGATGATTGATAAGCCTTGTTACAGAATAAAGGCATAAACGAAATCTTTACAGAAAGCGCTGTAAAAATATTCCACTGATAATGGACATGGGGGTTCTCAAATTTAGATTATTTGTTCAACTAGATAAATGGGACACAGTCACGCTCACCCGAGCAGCACCAGGAATGCCAGGATTTTTTTAATGGAGGAAGCTGAAATTTGAATCACCCACAACCCCCAACAGGACTGGCTGATTTATTTAAGAGGATAAATGGCTTTTCCCTCTGTGCTGTCCTCTCTAGCGTTTCAACATGCCATTAACCACCTCTTTGCCAGCTGTATTTACAGCCAGGCACCTATATTTCTATGATCAAAAGCAAAGGGGGCCTGCAAAACACCTGCTGCTCCATCTTTGCCAAAACCCAAGCAAGGTCCACAAGGTGAGCAGAAGACAGCCACGTGCACGCACCAGCACGGCCACCAGCACCTCAGCAGAACCAAGACTGTCATTTGACAGCAATGCATCTTCAATGGGCAATGCGCTTTTGTAGGGAACGTCTCTTCCTCTTGATAATCTAGAATTGATGCAAATAATACCCTAACTCTCCTTCTTACAACAGCTTTTTAACTGGCCTGTGAATTGTCTTTCTAAACCATTGTTTGGAAAGGGTTTAGAAGCCCTTTCTAAACCTTTTGTTCTTTTGAGTCAGAAGGTAGAAAAAATAAGGATCAGCAAAGAATAATACCGCACGTAAAGAATACCGTAAATACCTTCCTTCTATTTTCTTTATCACATGAAAGAAACATTGATCTATTGAGCTTCTTCAAAGCTACTATTGATCTAGACTTTCACCTCAGTCAATACATCACAAATGTATTTAGTCGGATTAACGCCGAAAGTCGCTACTCACTTATCACTAAAATTTGAATGCCTCTCATCTCACTATCAGTCGCCACAGCCACCCTGAATGCCACAGCATCCTCAGCCTCTCTCTGCCAAGTCCAGTTAAATGATTTCACACTTACAAAGCTTTATTACAGGTCTTCCTAAGCTTGCTATGGGAGCAGCTTTAAGAGCTCTCCATTGGGGAACATGGTCTCCTGCACTGGCCGTTTATTTCTTCCCTCGCTCTCTGCCATAGTTGGCTGGTGATGCATTATTACAGCCAGAGAAAGTCACTTATGTTGCCATTTCTTCTTGGTCAATGCAATGGCAGAGCTCCACGAGCGACCAGGAACACATGAGCAGCTCCACAGCTCTCCTCTCGTCCCTTCTCACCGTTAACCTGAAGGCCAAGCCAAGCGCTCTCTTCTCTGTCTCCTCTCACTGCTGTTATTTGTCCCTTTGCACAGCAAAAACATTTGTGACAGAAATTAGACATTTTGCTGCATACAATTTTCTCCCGATTGTTCGTGAGAAATTGGCTATGACATGGAGTTCTACAGTCAGCCCATCAATTGCGAAGAATAGTAGGGTTTAATTTGGTTTCTTCTCCAGCCACGGAGATAGTGCAATTTGTCCTCTAATGATAGCAAAGCCTTTTATAAACTGGAGTTTTAAATAATTCCACTGAGCTCAGAACCATCTGAAGAACGAGGTAGCAATGAAAGGTTAAGGACAGTGAAGACATCGTTGTGGGCTGCGAGAGGCAAAGGTAGAGGAGAGGGATGAGGTCCGGCCAACAGCCCTGCTGACCTCGCTGCAGCAAGAGCAGAGTTGTGCTCTGCCTTCATCCAAAGGGAGGGTTGGAATAGTAACACACAGACAGCTCGGAGGAACAGGGAGTCTCCTAAAGGAAATATATAAGGAAGGGGCAAATATCAAGGAGCCCTTCACCAAGCACTGATTCTCCTGCACATAATTTTTCCCCCAGACCGTCATGTTTATCATTCCTTATTCAAGTTATCCATAATATTCATAATGTTATAGACTTCTGTTTTATCACTCTCATTCATCTCTTTCCCATTGTAAGATTTCTGGGCAGTTTATTCTCTTCTCATAATCTAGCTGACCCACAATATTGAAATTTTACATTATACCTCCTACGTGGCAGAAAATTTGATTAGGGAAAATGCAGCTGGATTTGGAGATGAGAAAGATCAGCTGGAATCATCTGGCTATAATTATCTGTGTGTCCTTTGAAAGTTTTTCTGCTATTTTTCTTGTTCATAATTAGGACAAAAGCTAAACACAAACTTTCATGAATAAAAAATTTGAAAACATTCTCAGCAAGATCACTACAAAGTGTTCCCTTATTTCCACTTTTTTTTTTTAAATAAAATGATTTTTTCAGCCTTCACCAGTTTAAATTAAATATTTTCATCAGATTTGAGCTGAAATATTACAATTCCTTAAACATATTTCTTGCCCAAATCATTGAATTAACAAGACAAAAAGATTTTGCTTGGACACAAGCTGCATTAGACAAATTGACTTAATTCTATGGAAAGGTTCAGCTTCACCAAATCCCTCTTTTCAAAAGAAAAATATTGCTGTATCAAAAATTTTAGACTGAAACAATATCTGCCTTTGTTTCCATCTGCAAGACAAGCTGGGAACAGACAGAGCAACTCGTCACACCTCATGTCTGAGCCTGGGATATGTAGCTTGGTCTGGGGCTCATGCTGGGGTCCGAGAGCCACCTCGTTGTGCTTCCAACCCCAGTTTCTCCTCCAGCCCCGATTTCTCATCTCTGGAAAACCCATGCGACAGCATCTCCGGGCCTTGCAGCTCTCTCTGGTCTTGTCTGGTCACACTGCAAGCTCTTCAGGTCCTGCTGGGTTTCACCCAAGCCCTCGCACTGCCCAGCAACACTGCCAACAACTTCCACCCCCGGAAGAGGATCCGTGCAACAGATTTTTCCTTTTTCTCCAAGAATTTGCCAAGACAAAGACGGGTGGAAGGAGGAGTGACCGAGCCCTAGTGCAAAAAGGATCTTCTGATCACCAGCACCCACGCGGGGCTGGGCATCCCGCTGGGCATCACACCACGACCGAGCACCCTGGGTGTCCCGAGCCCCCCGGCACCGCACGAGCACCCACGGGGATGGCATGGCACCACCAAGGGGTAGGGACACATGGCGCACTTTTTGTAAAAAAGGAAAAAAAGAAGCTTTTTCCTCCCCTTTGCCCCATTTTTCCTTTCCAGCCCCACTGCAGGTGGTATCCAATAAAAGATGCTTTAAAGCCACTGCTTTAAAGCACAGTTTTCCTTTGAAAAAGTGACTGCACTAACTCTGATCCAACAGCATCATCCCTCCACGGAGCTGCTCCAGGAGCATGTTTGCAGACTGACAGCTCACTCTGTTGACTAAAAATAAGCTGTATGATTTTTTTTTTCTCATCTGGGTTTCCATATTGCTGTGGCAGAGAGTTATGGGCAAAGAGCCTGCTTAATGCCCTAAAAAAATTGTTAACAGAATCTGCAACAGCAAAATTTTTTATGTAATTTCTTTTGGGCTAGACATGGAGCTAGAAACAACGCTCACA